CAAATTCAGACCCAAATAGGTGATACTTTTTTAGTATAAATTCAAAGAAGCAGAGGGCATAGAGGATGTGTGAAGAGATGAGACAATAATCAAATGGGTTATTTTAATCTTATTCCTGATTGTTGTCCCTGAAAGAAAAGTTAACAAAGGGCTTGTGCCTGATAAGCACAGTAACGGGGCTTGCACTGTTGAGGCTGTTGGTGTGGTGTGATGAAGATATGGACAGAGATACCAACTCTTGGAGTTTTTATCAAGTTTTATTTATTTTAGCAGAACTCCCCCAGTACATAGCTTCCTTATTTGTCATAACTGTGTTCTCTTCCATTTTGCTTGGAACATTTGGACCCCAGAAAGACTATTTCCTCAGGGAAGTGGGGGACAGAGTGAATGATGGGAATTAATTAACTTGGGTCTGTGGAGGGCCCCGGGAAGCGAATATGCATGGCATTTGTATGTTTGTATTGAGGACAGAAGTTTAGTTATACCACAGGTTGGACCTAAGCAATCCTAGCCATAGCCCTAGTCACTTGGCATGGACTTCACTGAGTCTGTAGCCAGGGCTTTTATTTTGCCTCCAGACATGGGCCATTTCAGATTGTCAGATAGAACTCTGTCTGGAAAGGTAGATGAAAATGGAATATATGAACAGGTAGATGGATGTGGACTTTTCCCATCACGTCAGAGTTATTTCTATCTAACTGGACAGAGTTCAGCAAAAGATTTAGCTTTCTAAGTTAAGAAGTGGGGTGTTCACATTTCCCTGGCCACTTGCCTCTTAATGCTTGGCTTCTGTGTCCTTGAAGCCCTTTGTAGTTCTTGCCTCTTTCTTTGGTGTGGGAGTTAGTTTTCTAAGTTTGAGCACAAAACTTTCAGAACCTCCCATATATTTTGAGAGCAAGTAAGCTGAGCCCTGGGCTGTGAAAAGAAAAGTCAGTTTACCATCATTTACTGACCTTTTCATAAATGGAACTTCCTCACAGTATCCTTGAGATCTCCTCATTCAGCGGCCAGATTGCAGATCACTTTTAATACCGTGACAGTGCTTCCATGACACTTGACAGTTTTCAGAGTGCTTCATTTACTTAACTCATTTGATCATTCATTCAGCAAACATTTGTTGATCCTCTTTTTAGTGCAAAGCATGAGGCTAGGTATTTATGCAGTCTGATCTAATTCCAGAAGGAGGGAGTCATGAACCATATCAGATGCTCAGAGAATGCCAATGAAATAAGGATACAAAGGTGACCCTTGGAAATTAGGAGAAGTCATTAGTAACATTAGCAAGAATGATGAGGGCAGAAGCCAGAGTGCTGTGGATTGAGGCACATGAGAAATGAGGAAATAGGGAAAGTGACTATTTTGGTAGCATAGTGCCTAAGACACTTGACTGCTAACCAGAAGGCTGGAGGTTCAAACCCACCAGCCAGTCCTCAGAAGGAAGGTTGGGCAATCTACTTCCGTAGTGATACTGCCTCGGAAACCCAAGGAGGGGTCACTATGAGTCGGGTCCAACTCCACGGCACATAACAACAACAACAACAGGATATTATGCCTTAAAAAAAGTTTGGGAAAGCAGGAGGGGTCAGTGGGTGGGAGGGGCTGGATCTTAGGCTATGAAGAGAAGGAGAAAGAACAGTGTTTAGAGGAAGATTCTGTACAGAGAAAGAGTTTTTACATTTTAATATGGGAAAAACTTTAAATATATGGAATTTGATGAGAAAGTATCTATTAGATATATAGAACTGAGGTGAGAAGGGTGTCCCATTTTATAAATAAGGAATGTGAGAGCAGAGAGGTTAAGCAATTTGCCTAATGCCACACAATAAGGGGAAATTGAGACTTCAACCCATAGTCTCAGGGGTTCCACCAGTGTCTATCAGACTTGTAAGACTTTTTTTTTTTTTTTAATGCTTTTGTACATGGAGTAGTTTTGAATGAAAGAAAAGCAAAGTCCAAAAAAAAAGAAGTATATATAGTATAAGGAGCTCTGGTAGCATAGTGCCTAAGGCACTTGACTGCTCACCAGAAGGCTGGCGGTTCAAACCCACCAGCCACTCCTCAGAAGGAAGGTTGGGCAATCCTACTTCCGTAGTGATACTGCCTCGGAAACCCAAGGAGGGGTCGCTGTGAGTCAGGGCTGACTCAACGGCAAACAACAACAACTCTAGTGTAAGTAAGAAGTGGTAACAAATATGTATTTGCTTATATTTTTTTAATTATAACATGAGAAAAAAGCAGCAACTAAAGAAAATAGTTATCCATAGGGATCGAAGATACAGAGGTAGGAATGAGACTTCCCCGTTTACTTTCTTACAAATCTTTTACTTTGAATTATGTAAAAGTTTTGCTTGTTCAAAAACTTAAATCAAAAAGAATGGAGAAAGCACACCTACAATTGAACATGAACAGGAGCAGATGAATCCAAATACATATCAAACTGATAAGCCTCACAGAAAGAAATTAATTCAAGTAATTTTAAGCATACGATTCTACCCTTAGTGGAATATAAAGCTTGAAGATAGGCTAAGTGAACTAAGTCAGACACACAAAGACAGATATTGTATAATTCCACATATATGAAATGTTCAAATTGGGCAAATTCATGGAGACAAATTAAGGTTACCAAGGGCTTGGAGGTGAGGATAACGAAAAGTTATTTGTTAATGGGTACAGTTTTTATTTGAGATGATGTAATTAGTATCACTGAATGGCTAAAAAGGCTAATTTTTTGTTAGGTATATTTTACCACAGTTTTTAAAAATGTAATGATGGGTGTGCTGAGCAGAATACAAAATGGGAGTAGAGGACAACATAGGGTGAAAAGTTATTGTGAAACAGGGTATTCACATGGCTTCAGAGTATTACCCCATAGATTACCCATTAATTGTAAAGGAACCTTTACAATAGAGAGATGTGGCAGACACAGGTACCTTTACCAAGAGTTCAAGCTCAGCATGACAAACAATGGTGCAGACTGACGTTATGGCCTCCTGATATGATGCAATAGGAAGTAATATTCCCGCCAAAAATGTTTGACCTGATCTAATCATAAGGAAACATTCAAGATAAAGCCATGCCCAACCCAAGATGTGTGGCATTCTCCAAGATAATAGGCCTGGACTCTACAAAAATGTTAATATCATGAAAGCTTCCTCCCCTCGAAAAAAAGAGGGTGGACACTCTTCAAGATTAAAGGAGATAGAGACATAACAACGTAATACAAAGTGTGATCCTTGACTGAGTGAATATAAAAGGAATTTGGGGTCAACTCTAGAAATTTGAAAATAGATTGTGTATTAGATTATTACTGTACCCATGTTACGTTTCTTGCATATAATAATGGTGTTATATAGGAAAATGTTCTTAGAAGATACATCTCAGGTATAGAAGTGAAATGTCATGGTGCTCAAGTTATTTTCAAATGGTTCTGGGCAGGGAAAAAGAAAAAAAGCAAATGTGGCAAAATAAAAACAACTTGTGCTCTGGTGGTGCAGTGCCTAAGGCATTTGACTGCTCACCAGAAGGTTTGCAGTTCAGACCCACCAGCCACTACGTGGAAGGAAGACTGGGCAATCTACTTCCCTAAAGATTTACTGCCTCTGAAACCCAAAGGGGGTTGCTATGAGTCAGAATTGACTCAATGCCAGTGAGTTAGGGCTGGTGTGTGTGTGTGTGTGTGTGTGTGTCTTCCAAATAATCTGTAGAACCTCTCCTTCGCCCCCCAAAAAATGCTTTTCATCCTGTTCTTCAAATTCTGCGTGTCATGTTTTCCTTTGTTTGACAGAAACTGCTGTTGCACTCTCTCCCACCCCCATTGAGCCTCCCAACTCCTAAATGCAACATAATATACTAGAAAGGGGAGCTCTGGTAGTGTAGTGGCTAAGGCACTTGACTGCTCACCAGATGGCTGGTGGTTCAAACCCATCAGCCACTCCTCGGAAGGAAGGTTGGGCAATCCTACTTCTGTAGTGATTGTTGTTGTTGTTGTTATGTGCCCTCGAGTCAAACCCGAGTCATAGCGACCCCTCCTTGGGTTTCCAAGGCAGTATCACTACGGAAGTAGGATTGCCCAACCTTCTTTCCGAGGAGTGGCTGGTGGGTTTGAACCAGCCGTCAGTGATACTGCCTTGGAAACCCAAGGAGGGGTCGCTATGAGTCAGGGCTGACTCGACAGCACATAACAACAACAACAATACTATAAAGAACATGGGCCTTGGGATCAGATCTAAGTTTAATTCATAATAATATTACTTTGTTCATTCAACAAATGTTGATTGAGACCTGCCAATTGTCAGATTCATAGTAGAGAAGAGACCTCATCCCTTCCCTCCAGGAGCTGATAGTGAAGGAGATAGTAAATAAACACATTAATAAATATATAAGCTGTGATACGTGTGATGGAGGGAAGAATTTGGAGTCCTAGAAGCGAGAATAACAGAGGATATCTAACAAGTTAGAGGGTGGCCAAAGATGCCTCTCCAGCTCTGTGACCTCAAGCAAAAAACATTTGAATTTTCACATGGGTAGATCCAGTCATCAGAGTGATCAGTCGTGGGAGAACAGAAGGGCAGTGTTTGCACAGGGAGAAATAGCTCAGGGGCAGGAATGCATAGGAAAGGACACAGGGAAGAGGTAACTGCAGGGAGGAAATGGGAAGAGAACTGTTACATTGTGGGGAATTGCAGTCAATGTCATGAAACAAAATGTGTATGGAAAATGAATTTGCTCTGTAAACTTCCACCCATATCACAATAAAAATTTTTTTTTTAATTTGAATTTTAAGAAGTTTGGTTTTCTCATCTATAGAAGTGAAGGTAACTTTCTTACTCTATTGTTTCTGAAAACTAAGTATAAAAAATTCCCTCCTTTAAAGGAACTCTGTGGGTGTTATCGGTCTTTCTAGAAGCACTGCCTCTTTCTTCACAGGTTCTCCTTTTCAAGTGCTGTATTTGGGTAATTTGCTAGTAATACCCTCTAACTTTGTCTTTTCTGCCTCTCAGGGCTCAGAATGGAATGCCTCCAACTTAGAGGACTTACAGAACCGAGGGTAAGCACCCAGAACGATGGCTGACACCTCCATGTGGCTTATCTTTACATTTTCCAGGCATAGAGATAGTGATGAGTGACTTTAATCTTAAGCCTTGCTTCCAGTTGCTTCAAATCAAGTGAAATCTAGTAAAAATGAAAATAGCTATTCTCTCTATCTCCCAAGAAAGAACAGCTGTTTTATTGGAAAATTCTTTAAAAACGAATGTGTAAGTCTTTGATGCCATTTAAAATCAAATGCACCTGTCAATTCTTGTTTTTATATTAAGAATATACTGTGAACAAAATGTGGTACATGCATATAATAGAATACTACTCAGCCAGCAGGAAAAAGGAAGTCTTGACCCATGCTACAGTATGGATGGAGCTGGAAGGCGTTATGCTGAGTGAAATAGTCAGCACAAAAGGACAAATGCTGTACGGCCTTACTTACATAAAAAGACAAGAAAAGACATACGTATAGAAAACTCACTTTATCGGTGGTTACCAGGGGTGGAAGGGAGAGGGGAAGAGAGAGGGAGTTAACAATGATGGAAATCCTCATCAATTCAGGGTGAGATTGCATGGCCGATTATTGTAATTGTTGACAGAGTTGTACATTTATAAAAAGTTGAATTGGCAAAAGTTGTGTGATGCATATACAACAGTGAGGCTGCTTACCTACAGCCGAAACCTCCTAGGATTTGGTTTCTTGGTTTGGAGGCGTAGGGTCATAGTGTCATAGGACATTCCAGTTAATTGACCTACGAGTGCTTCTATTCTACCTCCTCATTTGATGCTTAATGCCTGGGGTCTTAAAAGCTTGGAAGCAGCCATCCAAGGTATAATAAGTGGTCTCTTTTTGCCTGGAACAACAGAGTCAGAAAGAGACAGGAATAGGGGTGGGATACTAATTTCCTCCCTAAACAGCTTCTTCCACTGCCATGAAACCAGAGAACTATATGGTACCTGGCTTCTATTACTTTATCTTTTGATCAAAGATTCCATAGAAGAATCCTGATCAAAAAGAGGACAATGTAGAATAGAATTTCAGATTCTCATGGACTCCAGACTTCTTAGAGTTGTAGAGGTTGGATGAAGCCCTGTGAAACTATTGCTCTGTGATAATCTTTAAACCTTAAACCAGAAACACCCCTGAAGTCTTCTTAAAACCCAATAATAATTTAGCTTAACTAGTGAAAAAGGTCTGCCTTGAGCATTGAGCTCTTTTAAGATCTATATGGGATCAAACTGACAGCAGCAATCGATAGGTTAGATAGGAACCTTATAGAGGGCAGTGATTGGATGATAATGAGGGAGGAGCAACTCAGAAAAAGAGCGCGAGAATGGTATACAACCTCAAGAATGTAATCAGTGCCATTAAATTATACATGTAGAAACTGTTGAATACATACTGTGGATGATTTAAGGGCTTTTCAAATATAATTTGACAGCCGGGCTGTTGGCACCCAGTCTCCTGACTTTAGAAGCTAACCCCAAGTAAAGTGCTATTCAGTACAGAGTCATTTAGTGTTGAGATGGCAAAGAAATTTCAAGGAGTGCCACTTCCTGTGAGCAGTGCTGCTCAGAGGTCTGAGATGGAAAGAGTTGGGAAGCTCTGTCCTGTTTGCATATCCATTACTGAAGTATAGGGTTGGGAGGTAAGGGGTTGTTTTTATTTTAAATAAGAGAAGTGTGCTTGCTTTAGGGCAGGTTATAATGATTTTCTTGAGACATAATTCATAGTTCACCCATTTAGAGTATAAAATTCTGTGGTTTTCAGTTTATTCACAGAATTGTGCAATCATCACCACAATCGATTTAGAATATTTCTTCTCCCAAAAAGAAAAATTTGTACCCTGTAGGCATTATTTTGTCACCCCCGTGTCTCCCTTCTTCCCAGCCCCTGGCAACCACTGACTGATTTTCGGTCTCTATAGATTTGGGCCGACTCGACGGCAAATAACAACAACAACAACAACAACATAGATTTGCCTGTTGTGAAGATTTAATTTAAATGGAGTTGTATAAGATACAGCCTTTTCAGGCGGACTTCTTTTGATTAACATGTTTTCAGCATTTATTCACATTGTAATATTTATCAGTACTTCATTCCTTTTTTTATTACCAAGTAATATTCCATTATGTGGCTCTGCCACATTTTATTTGTTTTCTCATCAGTTGATGGATATTTGGGTTGTTTCTACTTTTCTATTAACAGTTAACGCTGCTACGAACACTTGCATATAAGATTTTGTCTGGACATGTTTTCCTTTCTCTTGGGTAGATACCTAGGAGTGGAAATGCTGAGTCATGTGTTTAAACCTTTTGCGGGAAACTGCCAGACTGCTTTCCAGAGCATTTGCACCATTTTACAGTGTCATCAAGTGCTTGCTTTTTAAATTAAAAAAAGAAAAGAAACACCTTTCTAGTAATGGGCTTTAATGCTGCTAAGTTAAAACATTTTCAAATCACATCCCAGGAAAATTTTGGCCATCTGACCTTAACCTCGTAGTAGGCTAGGTAAGACTGTTTCTGAGGTCATTTTTTAACTTCAGTGATTGGATTTATAGAACCCCACATGTAGAACTGAGGAAGAAATAGCTTCTTCAGAGAGAAATGAGTGAATCTGTGTTGTCTGGTTGGGATAACTTGAGTGATATCTGAGTCCACACAGTATTGAGAAAAGATAACCCATTGGTAAATTAAACCCAAGCATTTATTGCAATTGGGTGGTGAGAGATTAGCAGAAGGAATTTTTCATACAGAAACTCTGTTCGGCAAGCTTCTTGGTACGGGAGAGCCCTCAGACACATCCACTGCCATAGCAGCCAGGAATGCAACCAGATAAAGCTAAGGCAGGTTGAGAGAGTTTTAAGTCCAGCTTCCCTCTTGTAAGTCCAGCCCTGGCCTCCTTTGCCTTCAGTGTAGTTAAGAGAGAGTAATAAACAAAGTCTGACCTGACAGTCTTGACAATTAGAAAGGTAGGAAGGTTTTTTTTTGTTTTGTTTTGTTTTTTGAGGGATGTCAGTCGTCTGATTTTATACAAATGACTTCCAAAAACAAATTGTATTTCTGGTAATTTCAGTGACAGAGAACTTACCAAATTATGGGCCTTAGGTTGAGTCTTGGGAGCTCTGGTAGCATAGTGCCTAAGGCACTTGACTACTAACCAGAAGGCTGGCGGTTCAAACCCACCAGCCACTCCTCGGAAGGAAGGTTGGGCAATCTACTTCCATAGTGATACTGCCTCAGAAACCCAAGGAGGGGCACTATGAGTCAGACCTGACTTGACGGCACATAACAACAACAACAACAGGTTGAATCTTTGGAGTAAAACATGAGGCACGTTTTCAAGAAACTATCAAGTATGAGATTGTGTAACTACATAAACTGAAAAAGGAATGTAAATGTTCAACTTGACAAAAGCTTTTCTCTCAATAACTCTCTGGTGTCCAGGTATGCTCAGGACTCTGTTATATAGTCTTTATGTTAAGTAAGTAAATCCTCTTAGTTGTGTTTTTGTTTCGTTTTGTTTTGCTTTTAATTTTAGTATTTAAATAAGTAAATCAGTGCTGGGAATTGGATTTAGCCTAAATAGCAGAGGATATATTCTCCCTTGTTTTCCTTGCAGGGTGCGATACATCTTGAATGTCACTCGAGAGATAGATAACTTTTTCCCAGGAGTCTTTGAGTACCATAATATCCGGGTGTATGATGAAGAGGCAACGGATCTCCTGGCCTACTGGAATGATACTTACAAATTCATCTCTAAAGCAAAGTGAGTGGTGTGTCCCGCACACATAGTCTGACCTTTGTTGTTTGTGCACCACACATGGTGGTGCTCAGGAAAAAGGAGGTAAAGAAAAAACGGGATCCGAAATTTTTCTAATTCTAGGGGAAAGAATACTAACAACTTAGTATTTTTCCTTTAAGTAAAAGAGTCTCCAAGAAGAATGTGACTAAATATTGGCTATGTCCGTTGAACATAAAATTAGAGGAAAGAGACTTAAATGGCAGCAAGAGAAATAGAAATAAGAGAAGCAGTTTTAAATGAAATTCTTAAGTTGCCAATGGAGAGATTTAAAAATTATGTAATAGAAATTATTCCATAAAGGTACAATACTGTGCCCTCTTCTTTGAAGACAAGGAGAGAAACTGAGTAGGCTTTGGAAATCTTTTCCCATTCTTTTACTTTATTTTTATGATACTGCAAATGAAATTTTCCTCTGGGTTTTCTGTTGATGTTTTAATTGGCCCCCTTGGTGTTAACTATTTAGTGTTAATTGAGTGCTTAGCATGTCAACACTGCATTTGTTAAGGCCCTGGGGATTTCCTTACCCATCTTATTTACTCCTTCACTAAAAGGAACCACAAATGAGCCTGGTGGCCATGCTTCCCTTCAGGGGGTACCACGTTCAAACTGTCCCTGGTAGATGAGAAACACTCCGTTTTTTGATCTTCCTTCAAAGAGTGATTCTACATCTCTTGTAAGAATCGTCATAGTCAGGACATTTTTCCTTTTAGTTATCCCGAAGCATGCATGCTGTATCAGGAACTCATTCCTTCGGTCTCTAACCAGCACCTGAAAGAAAGAACATTTCATGTTATTGAGCCTGTTACTAAATTATTCCCAGTAATAGTACTTTCATGGCTTGCTTACGGTGTACCAGGCATTTTACCTGCATTATCTCATGTAATCTTTTCCAAAACTCAGAGAGGCAGATACTGTTATACTTCTGTTCAGATGAGGTTCAGAGAGGTTAAGTAAGAGTGTGACGATAAAGCTTAAACCTAAGATCATATCTCACCTCAGAGTCATCCATCAAGTTTTTGGGAGTAGTCTAGTTCCTTGAGGAAAGGGGCACTAGCCTTGAGGAAAGGCTACGCCATTTGTTAGAGTCCCAGCCAGAAAGGCTAGAGTTCAAGGTGAAGACCCAGTCCCAGTGGGGAGGATTTCAGCAGGGTAATGATTAGCTTTCATAAATGCCACGGTGTAGCATTTAAAGGAAGTGCTCACTCCCAGCTGCTGACCTACACTTACAGAAGCCTGAAAGTGAGTACTTGCTTAAATATTGCACCCTGGGCACCTCAAGGGTCTGACTCTAATGAAACCCTGAAATCAAGACCCTAGCTACAAGTCAGTTTAGGATTCCTTAGTGATACCAGTATTGCTTAACCTGAAAGAGTAGAATTGGGTTAGGTAAGAAATAATTTCAGATCCTTTATTATATAAGTTAGACATTACCCACTAAAAAGCTCTGTTCCAAATGTGCTGAAGAGTTTTCATGGTAGTGGATTATATTTGTCTTAGGGTTGGCCATGTCTGAGCACCTTCCATCCTGTAGGCATTGACCTGAAATTTGAGGCATTAAAGTTGTCAGAGCTTGAAGGGAAAATACAGAGCACATATCTAAACGCCCATCTGATGAGTCACTGTGCCTTGGCTTCCTAACTGCAGTCTCAATGAACACCCTTTGGTGCCAGAAACAAAACAAGAATTTGTTTCCTAGTCCTCTGGGATAATCTGAGCACACAACAGCACCCATCCCAACCTTAGGACACAGAATTGTATACCTAATTGATAGGCAGGAGGTTAATCGTACCGTTCCTTTGAGACTGAATTATTCCCAACTGCTCTCTGCATGCCTGTAGTTTATCTGATTTGCTCACTTTGGCACTTAACCTCCTTGCTTTGGTATTAACTCTTTCATGCATCTGTATTTCCAGCAACAGGTTTATAAGCCTCTGGAAGGAAGCTTGTCTGCCATCATACAGTGAGCGAGTGAATGGCTAGAAGATTTTCCCTATTATGCTGACTTGCATGTTTTTTGACTTATGGGAATAGCCAGCCACTTAGGGAAGGATTCCAAAGCCTATCTCACTAGTGATAAGAGTAACAGTTCTTTTCCAGATTTTAAACTGCTGTTCCTACTTAAGCAGCTGGTCTCTTAAATTAATCAGCCGGTCCAGAAGGTTGTTCCTACATTCAGCAGATATTTGAAGGCCTACTATGTGCCAGAAACTTTATTATTAGCAGAATAAGCATCATATCCAAGGTAACGAACTCTGGCATGTTGAGACTGAGAGGTTTTGTTCTGGGTTTTTATTTTTAAAAAGTATCTTTGCTTTCTTTTGCTTCCACCTCATTCAAAACAAAACAAACCAAAACAAAAAACCCAGCAGCAACAACAGGTAGTTCTCATTCATTCTACCCTCATCACTGAGGAAGGCATGCAGTGAATCACACGCTTACATCCAACTCTACAGGATGTATAGTCAGTCCCTAGATAGGACACTGGTTGTGTGTTGTGAAAAATAATATCCAGGGCTATCTCTGAGTGGAAAAAAGGGTTAGTTTCATTTGCTTTGTGCTTTCCTCTAGGGACAGAATCCTTAATGGAACTTGAACTGGAAGCAGCTCAGAACATTTAAATAAATCAGATGAATCACTGCCACACCTGTAACTCAAGAGTGCCAGCTATGACACATGCTTCTGGGGTTCTGAGGGGACTGGCTTCCCGCACACACAAAATGAGATCTTTGCATTTACCATGTTAAATTATAATTGTCTTTCTCCTACTGGATCCTACGCTTTAGGGCAAAAGCTATGCGCTACTTATCTTTGCATCTTGGCACCTTGCACGTTGTCTGACACATGGTAGATGCCTGGTAAATGTTTGCTAGATGTTGTTTAAGAGTACACTAGAACTGCCTCTCCCCACACAGTTTGATTATAGGTGTATACTAACATACCAAGGTAGAGAGGATTGCATAGCAATACAATGGAAGGGCAAGACTAAGAGACTTGGAAAAAATTCATAATCCAGTTTTTAAAATATTGCTGTCTGTTGTTTTTTTTTCTCTGTTCTTTACTTTGATTCCCCAAACTAGGAAACATGGATCTAAATGCCTTGTACACTGCAAGATGGGGGTGAGTCGCTCAGCCTCCACCGTGATCGCCTATGCAATGAAGGAATACGGCTGGAATCTGGACCGAGCTTATGACTATGTAAAGGAAAGACGAACAGTGACCAAGCCCAACCCCAGCTTCATGAGACAACTGGAAGAGTACCAAGGGATCTTGCTGGCAAGGTGCGTCTTTAAGGGACTTTCCCAAATTCTCCCTCTGTCAAGGCTGTCTAAGACAAGTTGAAAATCCCTTCTTTGCAGCTAGTTCCCAGCCTAATTTGGACCTGGTGCTTTTTAGAAAACGGACTTCCTCCTCTATCAATCCAATTTTTAAAAAACAAATATATGTATTTAAGATTAGTGTGGACCCATGGAGTCATCTTTAAATAACAATTAGCTCAGCTAGTAAAGAATGTTTGCTTTAAGCAGTGTGCTCTTTTAAACAGTTATCTATATGAAATCAAATTGATGACAGTAACTCTAAAACTCAGAGGAGGAGTGTAGAGGACACAGTTTAACATAATGTTGGTGAGACAGCACAGATAGGTAGAACGGTGACACAGCGCAGAGAATGTAACCAGGATCACTGACTGGCACGCGTGAAGAATGTTGAATGAGTGTATGTTTTCTTATGTACATGTTCACCAAATATTGGACCAAAAAAAAAAGGATTTGTGTGGAAAATTAAGCATTTAATCTTTCAGGTAAAACTAAAGGGTGAAAATACTATTCCCTTTATTTAAGTTCTCAACTAGGTGTAATTTTTAATTAACACTTCTCAGTATCTTATAAGCCAAATACAATGCCTTATCAAAATGGGTACCTAAACCAAACCCACTGCCATCAAGTTGATTCCAACCCATAGTAACCCTATAGGACAGAGTAGAACTGCCCCATAGGGTTTCCAGTGCTGTAAATCTTTATGGCAGCAGTCTGCCACATCTTTCTCCTGTGGAGTGGCTGGTAGGCTGGAATTGTCAGCCTTTTGGTTAGCATTTGAGCACTTTAACCTCTGCACAGCCAGGGCTCCTGAAAGTAATGCTAGTTTTACTGAAATTCTTGGAAATTCTTTGAACCATTCTTTTTTAAAAAAGAAAAAAAGCACCTGCTGCTTTGGGCATTACTTTTTTCAGTGCTCAGTTTTACAGAGCCCTTTCAGGTATTTTTGATCACATGACAAACCAATAGAATTGAGGTGTATATATAACCCCATTTAAGGTATGAAGGTACTTTCCAGAAACAACTTTTTTTGTTTTCTTTTTAAAAATCTTATTAACCAGCGTTACATATGTTGTTGTTGTTATGTGCCATTGAGTTGGACCTGACTCATAGCGACCCCTTCTTGGGTTTCCGTGCTAAAACGGCAAGGAAGGCCACATGTTCTGACCTCCTCTAATCCCACAAGAGGAAGGCAGGATTACCAGCAGTAACCCAAGGCCTATTACTGCAAGGCCAGACATGCTGCCTCCCTCCAGCCCTTTCACCAACCGTTCCTCCCAAAGCACCCA